CTGTAAAATTTCATTTACTCTATGCCGTACGAATTGTTTTCACTCTCCTCAGTTCTGCATCCAACATAATGTTTTACTATCAAGCCAAAAATATGTTATTCTGCTTATGTCTAATTCTGATTCTAAAGCGCTCAAAATGTTGCGAAATTTGTATTCTCATGCCATTTCACACTCATCCCGCCTTTCACATTCACTGCTTTTGTCCAAGCCGGTAGCTAATTCCGCTGGCATGAATATAGCCTGTCAGGCCACGGTTACTATTAACCATGGTCAGGCTTAATGGATAAAATGTCAGTCCTGCTCGCTTAATATGCGAATTTCAATCGAGCGGATTGAGTCATTCTTATTTTGACATTTCTACTAATAATGGTTCTTTTAGGTATATCCAATCAGAAACCCCTGTACAAACCAAAGGTCGTGCCCTTTTGTCAAAAGATTTTATTTCAGATCAAATTCTAGCCCGGACAACACACTCTACATACGTGGCAATAAAACGACTTTATAAGGAAGTGATATACGTTTGTTAAGTTAAAAATTTCAACAAAATACCAACACAAATCTACGTGATATCTATATGGCTGTTTATACGACGAGGTTTTTACCACAAACCGGCTGAAATAAGAATATAATTTGTTTTACTTTAAAACGAAAGTAAATATTATCTAGTATGTATATATATTGTTTAAAATTGTATTTATCTGAGTAAGCAAACTAGCACTGCGACACTGCCGTACTAACTTTCTGCTGGTATAAATATCTCATACATATAAATATCAATCTCATACATATAAATATCTATACAGTTATATCCACGCGCGGTCATATTTATAAACAAGTTGTTGGGAAGTGGGCTTTGAATTTTAGGTTAACCTATAGGGTTAAGCTAGTCTACTTTGGAACACCGGTCCCTGTAAGATACTTTTTTGTTTTTGAAAAAGTAATAATTGTCTAACAATTTTTAAATCTGTAATCATTCTGTAAAAATACGGACATAATTTGTTTTACTTTAAAACAAGTAAATATTATCTGGTATGTATATATGACTGTTTAAGATTGTAATTTATCCGAGTATAAAGCAAAAGCAAACTACAGCTGCTGAGCAGTCTGGCAAACTAGCACTGCCGTACCAACTTTCTGGCACTGTTTCTGCTTGTGTAAGCAGGGGCGGACATATTGATTTTGACTGGGAGGGTGTAGTCACGAAATGAGACCGACCCATCAATGAAATGTGAATCCAGACCGACTCTTGGTGATTTGCAATAAAATTGAGTACAAAGCATGGAAATTGATGGCATTTACTAGGAATTTTGCAAGAACACGTACAGTTTGCTGTGAAACGTTATATTTTTATTAAGTGTCCGCGCTTAGTAAGGTTTGACCACGGATTTCGTCTGAAGATCGATCGTGTCTGTTAGATCGCGCTCACACGCAAGAGTCAAGAGTTCACCAAGGCGTTCCTGGTTCATTACTCTACACATCGCAGTTTTCACTGGTTTCAGCTTTGAAAAGCTGCGCTCGCCTGATGCGGAACTTTCAGGCGCGTAACTACAGGATTTTTGATTGACCGAGACACTTCTGGTGGGGTCTGGGGGCATGCTCCCCCAGAAACTTTTGATTTTCTAAGGCTTAGAAACGCTATTTCCTGCATTCTGGGAGCAGTTCAAGTCAAAATCAGTTTCATATTACAGTGACACAATGACTATAATTTTATACTGTAGTTTGCCCCCAATCCTGAGGATAAGAATTACAAATATTTTTGGTCGAACATCATTGATCAGGTGCATAATAAAAAAGCGTTTGTGCTCAATTGTTGTAATATTTGGGCGCTGGCCCGCACTTTTGTTATTGGGGTACTTGTGCACCCACACAGCCTCCCATTTCTTACGTCACTGTAGGGCAAGAATAATGCATTCTTCTTTATACATGGAGAGACCTACAGTGTGTCATTGAACTTGAACTCGATTGACTCATATACCTAGTTATGGGCTTGACTGGAAGCAACAATTGGAAACATCGCTTAGTCAGTGGAAACAATTTTTCGCTCCGTTATTTCAGATAAACCAGTGCGTCGTTCACTGATCGAATTTCTTGATTGCAGTGGGCACAAAAACTCTTTGGTAACAAAATTCATATGCATATTGTGTTACATGTGAACATACTTCCTAATATAACTCGGCTAGAAATTCGTTTTTGCACTTTCATCTTAATTAAAAATATAGTTTAGGGACCGGGAAAATATTGTAACTAATGTTAGCTATTTTGATCGAGATTCATCGCGTTTTGGAGTCTGATTTTGGTGGTTTGAAATTTTCGCTAATATAGAATATCACCCGTGAATGACGTTACAGAACCTAAATTCCAAATAAATGTGCCAGCGCGTAATCGTAAAGTAGATATCTCCATGCTTGGAAAGTAAATGGAAACTTCATCCCTTTGCGCGTGTTTTCACTGATAATTCGTTCATAAACTCGCGAAATAAGTACGTAATATTTCTTCATATTATTTCTGAGCTGTTTGATCCGTTTGAGCAAATTTCCAACTCAATACTCAATAGTCTGAGTCTATCTCGAGTTTCGAAAATATTTCATTTGCTTCGCAAAACACTGCGTGTAAACAAACACATAATTTTGAGACCGACTGCACGTAGTTTGAGACCGACTGGATTTTTGTTTTGAATAATTTTGCAAACATTTTCGAAGTCGTGTCCGTTAAAATCAAATATTTTTTACATGAATTATATTTCATTCCATACTTTAAATGCCAGGACGCTTTCAATTAATGTCTAGTCTACCCATTTGCTATATTTTCTCGTTTGTTTTACTAATTTTTGACCAATTGATAAGCATGTTTTTGTTTTAGAAATTGATATTCAAATTACCCGCCATATTTTCATAATTTGGTGCATGGCAGACGTTTTTCCGCGGTGTTTGGGGGAGCAACCTTTGGAATGTTGTTAATATTTCGCCCCTTCCGAACTTTCTTGAATTGAATCTGTAGTCTGCATTCATTTACAAGCATAGCGAACCGGAAGGGTGTTAAAAATTCAGTATAATATTTATCTAATCATATTTTACAACTGTAGCACTGAGTTCAAAATGTAAACAAAGCGTTTGTTTACATTACGGACTTTACATCACCTTTAAACATTTAAATTAATAACTACATATAATAATATATATAATAATATACCCATTTTAGTACATATGTAGTACTCTGTGATTCATGTAGCCAATTGTAAATTACCTAACTTTGAGTCAGTAGTGAGATTTATAATTGTATATATACGTAAAAAGTTCAATAAAGTTTTCATTATTATTATTATTATTATTATTATTATTGAGAAATACCATCCATCGAAAATCGAAATGTCCTAGGAAATACCTTCAAATTTTAGCACACATATAAATAAAAGATTACGGTTGACAACCACTCTCACTTTCAAAATGAGCACTATTCGATGATATTTTGCATAGTTTTATGGTTGTAACAAAAAAAGGCCACCGACAGTGTTTTCTAGACAATTTTTAAGCTTGGCCACAAGGAACCCATCCCGGATCTTATTGAAGTTATGTATTAGACTAACATATGAAATATATAGCTCAGTTTTGAAACCTGCGATTTGCGGGCTGTGTGCGGGCTAACGCGCGCGTTGAATACACAATAAAGAAAATATTTTCTATTTGTAAACAAGAAAAACATACTTCTTGTTATTTCATACCATGCGTGGGAACGCTTAGACTTACGTCGCTCCACTTATGATGTATTGTAAGAAAACGGTTAGCATAATTGTTAGTTAATTAGTACGTAGGAACAAACAGAGCGGTATAAACAATGATTAGTTGATTACACCTACGCACCAACTTATCAATAATATCAGCTGACTGAATTTGCTATTTGATGAAACTGTGGATGAAAGATCCATTTTTGTGCAATGATTTTCCAGGAATGAACAAATCAGTAATTGTTTCACCTGGCCATCTATTCCTACCTGAGCGTTATTTCCGTACCCTGCTGACTGTAGTTCTCACACTCTAGATCTTATTTAAAGAGTACTTCCAGTTTGACAGTATCAAACAGTGCGAATTATTTCCACAAAACCACATTCTTTCTGATAAATAATAGCACTTCATAGACTCTGACTGATCTATCTAGAAATAACCGAACAGTTATTAACTCATTGAGAGGTAGCACTCTAGCTCCCACTGACGAGTGAAATCGTCCGGTGTTAGATAAAGTAAAATAATCTGGCGTTAGACAGAGTAAAATAATAAAGTAGGGCGCACTGGGCGCATTGCCACTTAAGGGGTTAAGCATAAATGCTTTTTGTTTTTACTTTTATTTATGTTTTATATTGAGTAGGCTGTACTGTCTGTAGTCTGTTGAACGGCAACATCAATGAACACGTGTTCATCAAATTTTTACTCTATATGCATGGACTATATACACATGAAAAAATCTCAACAGGCTTGTAGCAAGCTTGTCAACAAGTCGTAACAATGCTGTTATTTTATCAAGTTGCTACAAGGTCAAGGTTGTCACCCATGACGGACTTGTTGAATTGCAGGAGGATGACAAGTTACGAAAAAATCTCACATGCAACTTGTCAACAAGTCGTGTTCACAACAGGCTTGTAGCAAGCTTGTCAAACAAGTCTAACAAGTTGTTGGAACAACTTGTGACAAGTCTGTTGAGTTCATAATCGTAATCTTTATTGACAGGAAACTTGTTGGAACAGCATTGCTACAAGTCTGCTGCAGTTTGTTACAACTTGTGAGTTTTTACGTGTGTAGGCAACTATATATTATAAAGTGTATTTCCTTAGTTATCCGAACTGCTACGTTATTTACAAATTCATTTTCACGGTTCATAATTGCGCCAAGAGTTAAAACATTCCAGGTCGTGGGGTGTTTTTAGATTATGTAAATTCACTGACTATTGTTCATTGAGTAAAGAAAGATAAGTACTTTCAAAAGGCAAAAAAAGATTAGTATTAATTGTATGCTTTGGCTCGAATACAAAAATGTAAGTAATTTTGTTTTCTGCCGTTAATTGTCTGGTTGCCAAACTTGATACCAGGGGTCACGTGATAGCAAAACTATAAATTAGTCGAAAGTTGTTTGTTGAAAACAGAAGATAACAACGTCAACCCGTGTGCAAACTGTTTCTAATAAGAAGGAGGATTAACTGCTTTCAGGTGAGATGATTTTAATGATGATTGCTGATGAGTGATGTTCACTTTTTCAGGTCCTGCAAATGATGAGAATTACTGTTAACTGCGTTTATCCGACCGCACTGGACAAATATGGGTTACGCTTACTAGATCTCGTATACTTAACACGAATACAGGCTTTTATTTAGTTATGTTTTGTGAGTGATAGTGAAAAACATCACTATACCTGGATTATTTGGAAGTTATCGGGTATTTTGTCCATGACCATGGACTGGTAACAGCTTCACATCACACATGGTTTAATTTCGTACTTGATTCAGTATCTCAATTGCTTTCAGGTCAAATAAAGCGTGCATTGAAACACGATTTCCAGCGCAGCACTGCTTAAATTCAAGCAATCCGAAGCAAGATGGTGGCCGTGCACGAAAATAGGCTGCACCGTCCACATAAATACACTAATTACTTGCACAAATATCGTTGGATCAGACTGAAAACTGATTATACTCACATGTAAAACTATAATCATGTTTGGCACAATATAGCGTTCATCTCTTCGGTAATTTTGATGGAGATGGAATTTTAATTGTAATTTCACCGCATGTGAGTTAATGATTAGTAAATTTTTGCACAAAAATTACTAATCCGTTACCTTCAAAAAAATATGAATTAAAAATTTAGTTACTCTCACTCAACAAATGGCTGCATTTCTTAACAGGGTTCAACACTTTTAAAAAGCGTTTTGCCATATGGCTCGTTCAGTGATTGTTATGATGTTCGTGTTGGTTATTTTGCCTGGAACGTTTGCCGATTCATGCAGGGACTGTTCTAACTGCTGTAATAACAACTGCGTCTCCAGCGATATGAAAGTTGAAGAACTGAGAAAAGGAATGGTTTCCGTATCTGAACTGTCTGCAGGTGACATCATTCGTGGTTTTAGGGGACTCGAAAAAACTCCTGACTGGTGCAGAGTCGACGCAGTTTTCTCCAGGGAAGGCATCCAAAACTTCACCACCTACAATGGTTTTACAAAGGAACATATGGTTATTGATGGTGACACAGTACGAGCGCACGGACAGGAAGGAGAAGCAGTTAGTACACAACTGTACACACTGGCCACTGAATGTGATGCTGCTGTCAACGCCGCTGGTCAAGCATTTACACCACTCAGCACGACATTTTGTCCTCATGAACTGACCTGGAGTGAATATCTCGTCCTCATGGCAGCAATACGTCGCGTGACAAGTCGTACAGGATATTTCTGGTATCTTAGTGATGCTTTCCATGATAACAATGCAGGCAAAGTTCCTAAATGGGCTGACATGCTTCCTGGCATGTGTACTGAAATGTTGAGATGTGCTCGTGTAAAAGAATGTCAAAAGTTTGAGAAGGTAGTCGAGGAGTTTGTCCATGAACATTTGAATAAAAAATATGTGTTGATCGTTGAACGTATCTTTCCAAATCTTGGTGGCGATGCAAACAAAGATGGTACTGTCAGTCAAGTAGTTCGTCAAGATGATAAAACCAACATCATTCTTATATCTTCGCTCAGTGTCATTGCCTGCATGCTTATTGTCATCGCTGTGTTGACATACTGCCTTCTGCGAGTTGTCAAGAAAAGATCAATGAAGCAATCCCAGGAGAAACCTCCCCTCGACGATGTGTCACCAGGAAGTTTCAATTATCAAAAAACTTGACTTTCAAAAACCTTTTCGTAATCATGTTGTAGCAAGGAGTAACTTTATAACTTTAATGTAGTTTCATTTATCTATAACGAGGGAACTTTACAGTAATTGCACTTTCCACCTTTTAAAATACACTAAACATTTGCACAAATATCGTCATTTAATTGTAATTTCACCGTTAAGTCAATGATTATTAAATTTTTGCATAAAAATTGCTAATAGGTTACCTTCACTGCCTACAGTGTGGCAGACAGTTCAAGATCATATGATTATACAGCTATTTCAATTAAGGTTGTCATAGTCAATTGAACATTCCAAGCGCGAACAACAAGATTCGGGGTATACCAAATTTTAATATTTTTAGCTGTTTAGGTAACCTACCATGGCTTTTTGTTTTGGCAATTCCCAGTAGTATACAGGATTTATATAATTCAAATAGCTGTATATACCAATTACATTAACACTTGCAACCGCTAACATTAGTTTTAAAGTGCCTATTGTAAAGAACACTTAAAATGACTTAATAATTTCTTTTATAGAATTTTGGTAACTTGCTTCCTTTGCAAGATATTCAACTTTATTTCACATGCAAATATCACCGGTGTGACATCGCATAATGACAATTTGAAAACGCAATATTTTACCTTGATAAAATACTTTTACAAACAAATACAGAGGGTTAATTACCAGTTATGAAATTAATACATATACAAGGGCAATTTTTAAGTTTTTTAGATACGTATTCGTCAAGAAAACTACACTTCTGAAAACTCATTATGTGATGTGATGTGATGTCACACCGGTGATATTTGCATTTATAATATAGCATTTGTAAATTCTGAACGCTGATTGGCTAAGAGCCGTGTTGATATAACTCAATGTCAACACGGGAAATTTTCCGCCGCTTCTAAACACGCAAATTTTTCTTATCCTTCGGGCTTTTGACATCGCTATATTATAAAAAAAATATAAAACATTTGTCCGTCTTGATATATAGTTATATCAACACTCGTGGAAGTTGGAAAAACTCGAAATTGTATGAAAACACTCCGCCCTTCGGGCGTCGTGTTTCCATACAATTTCTCGTTTTCCCAATTCCACTCGTGTTGATATAACTGTATATCAACACGGAAAATGTTTTATATTTGTTAAATGAAACAAAGTTGAATATCTTGAAAAGGGAGCAAGTTGCCAAAATTCTATAAAAGAAATTATTAAGTCATTTTAAGTGATCTTTACAATGCGACCATAAATCTTTGGGGTGAAATTTCGTGTCATAAGCACTTTAAAAGCGATCAATTCTTCCATAATTACAGGGCTTGACTGCTTATTACAGAAGATATTTTCATAACATTTCAAGCTTTTACACTGAATAACTGGTGGACTGCGGATAATTTACTTTACTATTTTTGCACAAGTGAACATAACAAATCCTACAAGGTGATTGGTCAAATTTGACGTATTAATTTGTCATATTCACCTACAGGTGAATATAACAAAATCGAAATTTTCAAAATGGCGGCTAGCCGTTTTGTTGAAGTTAGTGATAAAGAAATAAGCTAAATTAAAATGAATTCAGACCAGAAAAACACAAAAAAACTTGTGTAAAAATACTAAAACAATTATTCGCCTCAACCTCGGTGATTATCGGGGAATATTCACCTCGACTTCGTCTCGGCGAATATTCCCCGATAATCCCCTTGCCTTTGGCGAATAATTTACCTTTAATCTTTATATGTGTACAATTTCTATAAAGCACGTCCTAAAACAATTGCAGCTATGTACATGAAATTATAAACATAAAACAAAAATGTAAATGGAGCGACATGAACATTCGAAAGTTCTTCCAGAAGCATTTCATTGTTTCTTTTTCTTTCGGCCACGCCCATCAGGTGTGCCGTCAGCCTTTCGCTTTTGTTGAGGAGTCTGTATTAAACATGACAGAAGATTTTAGCCAGGTAAAGAACAAAGTCAAATTGTTGGGGATTAGAGGCTCATATTTATACACTCAACGAGTGACCGAGTGAAATGGCTCTGGGGGACGAGAATGATTTATACATTGTCATTTTTAATCTGCAACGCCTTGGGGCCTGGACACGAGTAAGCCTCGTATTTACAAAAAGGCGCGAAATGTTTTGTTCTTGTGTGATTTTTGGGCGGTTAAAACATTATAAAAATATAGAGGCAAAACTGTGATTTATCGGTGATTTTGAGGCTGGTGGGGGGAAAACCACAAAAAAGAGAATTTCCCAACAAAACAAAGACGCACATTACATTTCTAAGTCCCTTTCTGATTTGCATGGCAATAAATGTTTTTTTTTTTTTTAAGTTAATTATTTATTCACGTTTAATTATCTGGCAAAGCAATTGATCCGTAAGCCAGAATCTGTCGCTCTAAATAATTCAGGATCTAGGCTTACAGATCGAGAGCTTTTTGTTCATGGGGAAAACAACCATTACGACGGTAACGTATTGAAAAACCAAATAAGAATTTCTTTGGTTTTGGTGGATTAGGCAACAACGTCCAATGACCGCCTCTCGCATTTCCAAATAATTGCTTTTTAAAATATCGATTGAATAAACCAGCAAATATAAGTATTGAATAAACCAGCAAATGGTTTTCGAGAAAACTTACTAACTTAATTATCACTGCTTACCTTGGCATTTCCAGGCTTTTGACCGCGCTTTCGTTCTTTCTTCTCTTTTTCTTCAATCTCTAACATTTCTCGTTCAATTAAAGTAATCAATGTATTGCAACGTCTCTGAAGTTCCTTTATAAAAATAAAGCACAAATCATCAGCAAGAGACGTTAACACAGAATAGAGACAAACAGAAGGTCGACTCAACCAAAAAAGTGTAACGCTGCCACGACATGATCCGCAATGACTCGTCATCAAAATGCTGTCGCCATGTCCCTAGTCAGTGCGGTTATGAGAGGCATTCACCCCCCTGAACGTCCCCCATTTTTGAATATTTTCAGGGGGGTGAATGCCTCCCTGGCTAGGGACATGGCGACAGCATTGCAACAGTCAGTTACGCAAAAATCAGAGGCAAAATCAAGAAGTCGACCTTCTGCAAGGTTCCTATTCAGTGACGTTAATGCGATAAGTATAAGTACAAATTTCAGGATCTTGAGCGTTTTTGTGGATGGAATTTTCGAGTGTCATTTTTACACATTTTTAGACTTTACATTTCTAGACATAACCAGGAGTAGTTAAATGCAACTCTAGGCCCTCGAGCAGGAATCGAACCTGCGACGTAAGTAAGGATAAATTGCCGATAAATAAAACTTTTGTTCAATCTGTACGTTGGGATTTGATGGATCTATTGGGTATTATTAGGTCAATATATCGGCTTTGTGCTCTGCAAAGAAAGCCATTTCTTGAAGTTCAGTATTACGGGAAAAATATGGCACTTTCTACTTCCGTTGGGGATTGTTGACCCAACAGGCCAACAAGAAACCCAACTTGAATTCATCAAACACGATTCGAATGAAGCCAGTCAGTTAACTAAAACTTAAAGTTTTTCCTCGGTTTTGCTATCAGACTATCTATTCTCTAAAGTCTTCACCAAACATGTTTGTATTATATACTTATTTTATCCAGTTGTACATCTAAACAATTTCTTCCATTCGTTTCTTGAAACATTTTCTTCAAACAGGTTATGATATGATAGGCCTAACTACGTAGGCGCCTTAGGTAAAAAAGCCTATCAAGGTTTCTGGCAGGATCCTAACCCTACTGTAATACAGACACACAACAGTCAATTGTTACAATAACTTTTATACGGGCAAAAAATTTAAAAAATCTTAAACGGGTGAACGGTGCAGTATTCGCACCAATATCTCACCTGTGCTGTTCGTGATTTTAAGAACCAGTCAAATCTGAATTGTGGAGCACTTCTACATGCAATACGCAGTTCATCATATGAATTCTCTTTTTCCAAACCAAGTTTATGAAGCATACAAATCTACATAGAGAAAAATTAAACACCAACTGCTAACATACATGTATTACATGCGCAGGTATGGGAATAAAGATGCTTTCCAGTTCTACGATTAAACAACGATGGGGGGTTAAAGGGTTCCGAATTGATCATCAATGCAAATAGGGGGATACACTACAGCGTGGGAATCACAACCATAGCGATATTATTTAGGATGGTGTCAACCACAAATAAGATCAATGAGGTTCATATGACAAATATGAGCAGTTCTCAACATCTTGCTCACCGATTAAACTGAAGTATTTGAATTTACCAGAGTGCGGGATTCGGATTCTGGATCAGTATAAGTATAAAAACTAATGCAAGATGCGATAATTCGCTGTACTTACGCAGCGAGGTACGGCAATATTACGGTCTGGTACCTTCTTTGGTTTCCGCCACGTACCACATAGGTACGCTGAATTGTTGCTATCTGCGTATTTCTTTTCCCTGGTACCATATGACCTTTCCAAGTCCAAGATATTCAACACCGTAATTTAGTTGGTATATCATGTGTCTGACATGTCTTGGCATGAAACATGATTGGACTGACGGCATGACTAAGAAATGGAGTCGATTGTTTGTATGGAGGAGTCGATTGTGCGTAGTTTGACTTTTCAGAAACCTGCATTATATCTACTTTATTTTCAAGACTAACACATCGAGTTTGTACTAGTGCAAGTACGTAGTAATAATAGTCAGCTACGATTAAAAATGTTGAATTATCGCACCCTGGAACTAGTGGATGTGGAGCTGCACTTGTTATTATCTCTCTGGACACTGGATTGTCCTACAGACTATATAACTATAGAAATACAACATAGAATTAAAACCGAACTAAAGTGTGATAAAACTCACCAAGAACCTGTCTTCTTCTTCTGTATAGTTCTTTCCCTTATTTGTACCGTAGGCTATCCTTAGTTGATGAAACGGTGAACGATACCTGGCCATCTAATGATAAAAAGTAAAATTTGCTAAAACCATACGACGGTAGTTTTGTTTACAAAAGCTATTACAAACGATCAATTCTCTACATCATTGCTGCAATTCTCTACATCTTGAAAAGGGTCTTGATTGATCGGAGGCTTTCGACGTTAATAGGCAGCAAAAATTCAAACCAATTGTTAGCCGTCACCAGGGCCGCCGAGAGGCAGGGGAGGGGGCAGGGCAAAGCTCAAAAGCCCCCTCCCCAAGCAACGAAGGCCCTTAACATTTCTTGATAAAAGATTGCTTAACTGAGAATATAAATGTTTTATAATTATGACGTCATAGTGGCCCCGTTTTGCCCCGGGCTCCGCGCAACCTCTCGGTGGCCCTGGCTGTCACCAAGATGGTTTGTACAATGTCAGTACCAAAATGCTGCTAAATTGATGTCCACTCGCTTGCCCGTTAAATGTCATGAAGTTAGTTAAATACAGGCAAATCTCAGTAGCTGCAAACACTACGTTTGACGAAATGTTTGAACACTGGAATATTTCTGTACCTTTGCATCAAGTGCTTTCTTGATACTTATTCTTCTTTGTATTTTTGCTTCTCCTCTCTCAATCTGCGCCATGATCTTCTCCAAATCCTGCAGTTCTTCCTTGCGTTCCCAAAACACTTCATAATAAGCACGCACCTATAACAAAATATTAACGAGATATTCATGCTCTATATCAAAATACAGAATAGAAGTAGAAGTAGAACCCGTGTTGAATTTGAAACTAATTCTTTGAATGCACCAACTACGCTGAAATACTTCAAACCACAAATATTGATACCACGAGGAAGTGTGCTGTCAATATATATATATGCAAACTCCTGTAGATTACTTACTTTTCAAATCTATCATCTAAAATAATGCAAATAACCCTCCCCTCTCTTCTTTCTCTGTTCCAATGTTGTTCAGGTGTTTATGGCGGGTCAAGATATAGAAGTAAGTGGACTGTAGCAGCAATAACAATGACATACCTCCTCCGGTGTTTTCCCTTCAATCTCATGGGCAATATTATCAATATCGTCTCGCCCGTATTTCTCACATGCCTTGATAAATTGATTAAAATCTCGCTTTGACCAGTTCGTAAAACCCTGCATGGAAGACAACAATATCGACAATGTTTACCTCATTGCACATTTTCAACTAAACATCATCATTAATACTATACTCGAAGAATATGGGTAATACATTAACCACAATTTCATGTATATATGGTGGAATTCTAAAAAAAATATTCCATAACTATTTAAATATTTATTCTTTTTTTGAGATTTTAAAGTTTGTCCATGTTTTCCAATAAGATGAACATTCCAATGGCCTCCACACAGATCATAGCCCCCTAAACTGTCTTGCTGACAATATCCACTGACCTCTTCCAACAATTTCTCTTTTTCTGCAATTTCCTCTTCAGTTAACGGTTCAGCTTCATCAATCATTCGCTGAGCTTCTTTCTGATTTTGGGCGCCGTTTGGGTCTTCGGGGTCACGTGGTACCTATACAGTAACAATGTGAGTGGAGGTTAAAAATGTTCGCAACTTTGTACAGATCATTGAAAGTCACAAATCGGTTTGAAAATTGGGCTAGGTTGACAAAGCTGCTCGTGAATTTGGTTATATGCTTATATGATTGACACCAGCTGTAAAATTCTTATGCTAATTTTATTGGTTAGTTCCATTCCTTCAGGATAATTTCTCGATGATCCCTATACAGGTACATTTTTCGGCATATGTCATCCATAGGGCGGGGAAGGGGGGGGGGGGCTAATAAAGAGGTTAAGATACCCCGGTTCCGGTTTACGGGTAGTTTCATTTTGTTTAGAAATTTCCTAAAGGAAATGTTTGATCACCCTGTTTGTTGCGATAAACTATAGTCAACTGTGAAAGAATATGTACAGTAATTAAGAGTAAACACACAGACATCATGCAAATGGCTAAACACAATGACGCTACGAGTGTATTAAATAGGACGTCCTACTACTGAACAAGACGATCAAAAGAGCGTTATTAACTCGCTGGGGCTATAACGATACGCATGTTATATGGTACTACAATCATATGGCCAATTGAAGAGTTGTCACCTGACTCTTGTTATAAAATCTTTACTCTATTCTCTGCTTGCACATGATGTCACTACGTGTCATTGGGCGCCATCTTGGTTGATTTTACACTTTTATCCAGGCGTTTACATCGAAATAGTTGAGTTACTTTAATATTTTTGGTTTGTTTTGAAAACGTCTTGCTGTATTATGGATAGTTTACGATTTCTGGCACAATACGACAAAGAATGAAGAATATAGATTTTTAGTTGCCACGAAAATCAACGAAGATGGCGTCTTATAAAAACATAGTTAGCAGATACGGTTAGCATACTCTCAGTTCACTAATTTCCCTAGGAAGGGTCTTCGCTCGAAACGTCGATGTTTTACTTGTGTTTTTCAGGTAGTTGAATCCCATTTCTGGTGTTATGTCACTACCTACACTGGCACAGACTGTTCGAGTTCATATCACATTAAAATATCATGTTCGACATGCTTATATTTCATACAATTGTTCTGTGCATTGCTGTCTTTGTATTTCTGTTTTTGTGAGATGTCATTTTGACCGCTTAACAGGATTTATTTGGCATTAATACATCTTTACATTCATTATTCTTGTCGTTCAATCCTCAATGCCGTAAAAAAGCTGTTTTAAAAGAACGTAAAAATATTCGTAAACAGCAGCTTTGGCTTTTTTAATAAAATTCTCGAATTTTCCTCAAAACGTAGGGTTATTTATGGATGATCTAGGCAAAATTTGGGAGCTCATTAATATTCTATTTTGTGGCTATCGATGACGATCGGAAAACCACTATCAACCAAAAATGCGTGCCTGGGCAGCGAGTAATAATCCTCAGAGATATAAGATTTTCACATAAATTCTGACACTACAGAGAACAACGAAAATTCGAGATTCAAACACTGTGGTTTCTAGACCACCGCTCGTCTATTCTTTGAGCAATTGCAGCAACTTATCAAGAGTCTGTACCACATGCACGCATACCTTATAACCAATGTTCTTTCTGAATGCGTAGATTTCCATGTCCAATAACTCGAAAAGTCGTGGTGGAAAGAATTGATAATCCTGCACGTTGGGTTGTTTAGGTGGACGTGGAGCCTGTATGGAAAATTGCAATAAAAATACATTGGAATTGATAAGATAGGAGAAAAGGCGAAAATTGTACATATCTGACATAAACGAAAGAATATCAAAGTTCAAAACTTTAAAAACACATAAATGTATTCCTACCAAGAAAAAGTAAAGCAACATGTCTGCCTGTATAACCATCATTC